TCTTTGTTTTACTTGTTAGGTTCATTCAAAACATGGGGGCAAAAAGGAAATTTTACGAAGAAGATTGGAAAAGAAGATGAGAGAAAGGACTCAATTGAAGAAATGGAAAGTTGGAGGGGTGAAATGCAAAGTCCAGCCCAAAACCCATCAAACCCAAACCAAAACCCAAATTCAAATCCAATTACCCAAAAAGCCCAAAATCCCAAAACCCATCTAACCCAATCCCACCAAAATCAAACCCAAAAAACAAAAAAAAAGGGGGGGGTAGGCATCGGGAACTTTCCCCTCCCCCCATCAATTTTTTTCACTTTCCTTCTCCCTGCCCTGCACAGAACCTGCGCACCAGCTCCCGCACCAGATTCCCTCACCCCAGCGCCCTGAGCCCGCGTCCGCGCCCTGCGCCCCTGCACGCCCGTGCCTTGCACTCTGCTACACCTGCACTTGATCCTGCACTCCTGCTTCTGCCAAAAAGCCGGATCCTCTGCTGCACCAGATACCCTCGCCTCCTGCAATCACGCCCCTGTTGCTTGCACGCCAGTCACTGCTGCTGCACCGCGCCTGCACTCCTGCTCGCTACTGTACATGCCAGACGAAATCTTCATCATTACTGATTGACAGGAGCAAGTCTTTTTATTTATTTTATTTTTTATTTGGGTATATATATATGGAAAAAAAATCAGAAGAGGGGGGGTTCGGATTTTTCTCCTTCTGCGGTTCCTCTTCTTCTTGTCACTAAAAAAGAGAGAAGCAGAAGACAGAAATCCGAAAGAGGGAAAATGAGGTCTTTTGTGGTGTGGTTTTGGTGTTTGCCGGCGGAGGAGTCTTTTGTTTTCTGGTGTTGACGGCGGAGAAAAGGAAAATTTGTTCTGCTGGAAGAATTGAGTCTGCTTTGTGTAGGTAATTTCTTTGAACAGAGGAGTTTTCTGGGAACGGTGGTGAAGGGGATGATGGGAGCCTGGTCCCGTGGGTGGGATCCCTCCCATCAGATCTGGATCTGCTTTTCCTAGAAGAATTCCGCCGTGGGTGTTGCTTTGTTTGTTGATTTCTTTCTCTTTGTATTTTTCATTTAATGTTCAAGATCGTATGTATTTCTTGAG